GCCGGACAAGTGAAAGGCACGCAGCTTGGACCGAGAAGTGAGAAGTTCATGCTTGCGGAACTAAGCAGGTGTTGTACCCGTGGCCCAAATCCCTACCACTCCACTTCTCGCTGCACCCGAAGCCAGAACTTGAAGCGGCTATTCCACTCCCGCTTCGGAAGTGCCTTGAGAGTGACACCCGGCTCTACCTGAGCGAGAAGTACGACGAGCCATAAGACTCTGGGCACAGTTCCGAGCCACACAACGCCACCGTCCAAAGAAACCATCCGATGGCGTTTTGAAGCAAGATGATGTTCAGAAACCAACAGCACGGCTGGTGTGCTTGGTATGCTTTCAATTTTCAAGCTACAAACCCGTAGCCCAACTCTTAAAGTCGTTCTTGCGGCTGGCCACCCCGTCCGGCACGGTGAAGCTGAAGCTGGTCACCACCCTGCCACGCTTTGCTGAATTTCAGAACCCAAGAGCACGGCCTCGAATCGAAGTCTGAGTCATACATAGGGTTTCCTATTCCTCCTCGTAAAACCAAGCTTACTTTGGCTTCAGTATATGTGGGGCCGGTACGAAGCGATAAAAACGCTGTTCTCAAGCCCAGCACTCTGAACTTCGAAGACACCAGAGCTTTGCAGGGCGCACGACACGGTCTCCTCCACCTGAGAGCTTCAGGTGAGGGTCTTGGAGCTTGGATCAATGTCGGGCTTGGGAACTTCGGACTCAAGCTGTGAAGTTTCTCGGGTTTATGCCCGGTCTGGCCGGAAAACAAACCGGCCTAACACAGTGTGTCCGGTTAGGGCCTGAGCGCCCTCCTTGCTTGCACCATCCAGCCTGAGCGAGAACGGACTTCGGAAAAAACAAAGTGCCCAACTCCCACGAGTTTTTTGGGTCTTTCTTCTTTCTCTGGCCAAGGGACATGCCGGGGCCGAAGCCGCCGAAGCTGCCGCCAGCGTTGGGCAAGCAGTTTCTACTCTGTGCTAGCTTGATTTTGTTGTGAAGTCTGAATATTATCTTGCTTATTGGCAGGCGGCATCCTCAACTTCTTATGTGGGTGTCTGGTGCCACCATTCTACTTCAGGCCGACGCCGCTCGGATGACGAGCCGGTGCCGTGCCTAGTCTGCACTTAGGCTCGCACCTGCCTGCAGAAACGGGCACCGCGTCCGAAGCGCAATATGTATGCAAGCCGCAAACTAGTCGGAGGGATCTTGAGCCACGGGAAATGCAAAGTGCTGGAAGTTGCTTTTGCGTTAGGCCGGCGAGTCTGATACCCGAAAACTCCACGCTCTGCTGCCTGTCTTCAAAGAAATATTTCAAGCGCAACGGCCTTGTCGGCTGACTGCCTTCTGCAAGAGAGGAGCCCTTCACTACGAGCCTTTTCAAGCGGCTATGGCAGCTCTCTTCGTGTCTCAGGAGTTTCGATCCCAGGTTGGAGGTCTCCCAGTTTAGGGAGGAGATGTGGAAAGTCTCTACACTAAGCCTCTAAAGCCCTTCAGCTGCCGCTCTGGGCATTGTCGGCATCAAGGCTCGCCCGGAAGTCGCGGAACGCACCTCGGCTGAGCGAAAGCCTCCCAGGCCCCGCGAAGCAGCCGCGAGAGCCGAGAGCGGAGCTGTCCAGGACTTCCTTCAGCGCTTCGCCTTGCCCGCCTTGCCCGCCTTGCCTTCCTGCAGCCTCGCGGCTCGGCGCGGCTCGCTACTACACTCCAAGCTTTCTCGCAGCCAGGAAGGCGCCTTCAGCCAGTTTTCCTCCACCCGGCCATTCTGCTGCAAGCGCCGCTGCTGCAGCTCCTCTGGCCAGTTTGCAGACGAGCCCTACATAACTCAGCGAGTGCGACAGGCAACTCTTCCGCCGGACCCGAGCTTTTCGAAACAATCCCCGAAGCCCAGCGGAGCATGTGTTTTTCATCCCTGGGTCCGTCAGGAAAGCCTCCACTAAGCCGCCAAGCCTGGGAAGAACTGGGACTGCCGAGGAGGTCTACTCGTGGGTTCGTTTGAAAGGACGCTTTGAGAACAAACGTCTGCGAAGCTGGCCCTGCTAAAACGCCCTGGCATCCTAGCCGCATCTAGCTGTCTTCGCCAAGGCCCGCCAAGGGTTGAAAGAAAACATGAGAGGCAAGAACTGGACAATGAAAGCTCAGCGGGTTTTTCTCAGCAGGAGCACTTCGTTTCGAGGACCCATCTGCAATTCAAGCGCAACGTCTTCACTTCACAGACCCACCCACCATTCAGAGGCCCTCCTACTTCACCACAAAAGTACCGAGCCCGGCCGATGCCACAGAATATGCTGCAGAGTTCTCGCCGCAACGGAGCTCAGCTCAAGGCCTCTTGCCGTCAGCGTTTCGGCACTGCAAGTCGGGGCGACAGCGCAGTGAAACCAAGATCATGGACTGCAAGCGGAAAGCCCAGCCGTGCCCACATGCCATTGAGCCTTAAAGATCAGGAACCCTAAGGCCCTAGCTGGCTTGGAAGGCTACTCTGGAGTCTCGACGGGAAAGGTTGCAGGTTCGCAGCTTCGTGCGCCTCTGCAACCGCGGTCGAGCTCGGCGCGTCAGGCGACGGGACGGGCTTGGAAATCCTCGTCTTCAACAAGGGTTGCCACCACGGCTTGCATGCCCTGATTTACTCAGTGTGAGAAATGCACTCTGCTCAATGACTATGGCCATTGGGCTCCTACAGCCCTTTTTGTGAAGCAGCTCAGCCCGGGACATACTGAAAGGGCTCCAGAGGCTGGATTGTACCGACGTGCCGGGTGGGGAGAGCGACACCGCGTCGGAGGCCTCTCCGCCCGGAAGTCTAATCCCCCGGCAGAAGCGGGCCCCTATGCCCCGGGTTCCGGGCTACTCAGCTTATGAGATGAGGCCACATCAGCTGCTCAGCATCATTCCCGGCCCTTTCTTCGGCTATTTCTGGCTTTCCAAGGTGTTGACTCCATAGAAAAGATGCCAGTAAGTGGGGTCGATTTGTGCACGCACACAGAACATCTACGCTCTCAGAACCCTGGCCAAATAGACCGTGCCAGCTGCAAGGGTCTTCTATAGAGGTATCCTGAAAGTCCTACAACGCCGATGCCCTCAAGGGCCCGTGGGCCTCCTCGTCCGCCAGAGCGGACAGGGCGAGGCCAGGGCCTCTGTGGGCGCTGCAATTCTCGGGACTTTCCGTAAGCCTAAACTGCTTTACCGACCTGCACTTACACCTTGCAGCCTGCGGAAAGGAGCTGGCATAGCCTGAGGCCAGAAGGCATCAAAACTCCAGTCTGGCACACCTCCCAGGCCTTGAAAGTCCTTGAGTCTGAGTAGTCGCTTTGCGCTCTCACACCCGGACGATACAATACGTTTTGCGCTGACGCTCAGTGGAAAGAACTGGAAGATGAATGCAAACATGATGTTCACGACGCTGATGCGGACGATGATGACTAGTTACTATCATCATGATGATGCAGATGATGCTGCTTTTTGTGAAATCGATATTCCTGCTTCTCTTGTCCTTGAACCAGTGAAGTCGTCCTGGCCTCCGAAAACCATGGCAGGGGCGCGCGTCATGGCGCCGGTGCTTGGGCTGTTGGGATCCTTGTGTTGGGGTTGACTGAATTTTTGGGCTCCGGCATGGCTTGCGCACGCTCCACACAGTCTCAAGCGCAAAGGCGTTGAACTGAGATGCGGCATCACCCAATCAGGAGTTTATGTGAAACAGCCTAACTATGCAGCATGTCAGATTCGAATCTACCGAACGAACCTGAGTATCAGGCGAGTGGAAAGGAAACATATCATGGAGATTCAAGCATTTTGGACAATGCCTCAGCAGCATATCAGTCCACTGCTACTGGCTATTCGAGCCATCTTCGCAGTGTTTTCCTGACATGGAGCACGGAGCATGAAGGAACCGAATCTTGTTGATCCTAGCAATCTATGCCAAAGAGCGCATGGAAGGGCAGGCAGCTTGTGGAGGAATTCAGACGTGCGGTTCGGCACAAACTGAAACCTGTTCGCAAGTGGGCCCTCCAGCTGCCTTTCGCCCTCGCGTCCCAGGATCTTCGCAAGTCTGATCAGACGCAAGTCCGAACCGAGGAACAGGCTCTCAAGCCCGATATGGTGACCGTCACCAAGCCAATTTGGCTTCTGGAAGAGGCTATGACTATGACGACTATGATATATCCACATATCTGAATTTACGCGCTTTTCTACTCCTCTCACTTGGCCCAGGACGGCTTCTCAACATCCTGCGCACACACGAGCAGTGACCTGACACCTGGACCTGCTCTGTAGAACCTCCCAAAAACGTATCCTTCACCTAGGTCTAGGTGTCGTCGGCGTCCTGTGGCTGCAGCCTTGTCATGGTGTAGGCAGCCCCAGGTCCAACTTTTCCGGGACTAAGGTACCTCAGAAGGACTTGGTGGGTTTTTTTGGTGCCCTTCTACCGTGCGCAAAGAATCGACTATGACACGTGTAAAGCCGAGGCCGGAGGCATGCTAGCGGCTGCTACTGGTAGCTGTCACCCACTGTGTCTGATGACGAAATTACGGAGCTGAACCCTCCCGTGTTCCAGCTCCGTCGACAAGCATGGGACCCACGAAAAGCAACTTGAGGCTCTGTCACCGAAAGACTCCACGTTGCCGGCATCCCTTGAAACGTAGACTTGAAACTGCCAGCAACCTGTGCACTTTATTGGCTGCTGAGGGGCAGGTTCTGGATCATGAAGGGGAGTTTGGCACCTCATGAAGCGAGGCTTGAAGCTCAAGAAATTCGGAGGCAAGGCTCGGGAGCTTCACAGACTAGTAGGGGGGTGGGGGCTGAGCAGTTCCTGCATCTCATCCGCTTTGGACCACATGTTTATGCGTAGCCGGAGCCTCCGCCACCGCCGCCACCACCGCCTCCGGCACTGTCGGAACTTGCACGATCGGCCACTGCCTGCCATCCAAGAATACTTTGTGCGATCGGCCTCTCACCCAACACTTTGCATGGCTTCTCGGTCGTGCTGCAAACGCCTCAAAGGTTTAAAGTGGCATCATCTGGTGTCATGTCAGCCTGCCCCCTACCAGACAAGACGTACGATGACACAACAAACCACGTGAGCTGCTTTTGGGTAGCCTTCAGCCAGAGCAAAGGAACGAACTTCAACGCCTGTAGCCTTCATTGCTCTTGTTGGGAATGTCTTCGTGCATCGTCCAGTTATGAAGGTTTCAGGCTCTGCCATTATTTAATGCGTTTGCATGGGCCTCTGTCATCGTCATCAGTGACACCCCCCCT